GAGTTCCAACCTTTTGGGACGAGGTTTCCATTTAAGCCTGTCAAAATCTGACACGATACGATTAATCGACACGAATCGATACAAATTAAGCGATTTTGAGTGAGATCTTAACGGGTTTGGGTAATAAACGGGTTGACTCGCCAAATACGTTTAATAAACGGGTCGTGTTCGGGTGAAATCTGTCAAACCGTTTATCATATGTTTGCTCATTTAAATAAAATTAATATAATAACAAATTAATAATTATTTTAAAAAATTAGCCAGAAAAAAAAATAGAAGAAGTAAGAAATCGATACAAAAAAAAAAAAATAAAGCTGTAGTTCAAAGACAAAGAAGGCGAAATGGAGAGCAGTTCAAAGACAAAGGAGGGAAGATGGTGAGATTTGACTAGAAAATTCTCTTTTTTGAGATAAATACAGTTGACAGTAAAAAAAGTGTAGTATTAAAATTTGTTGATATAAATTTTTTTAAGATTAAAAGGGTTAAACGAATCGTGTTATGTTACCCATTTATTAAACGGGTCGTGTTGTGTTGAAATTTTTTGCCCATTTATTAAATATTTCGTGTACGGGTTATTTGTTTTTTACCTGTCACTCGTTTAACCCGATACGTAACTGTTTAACTCGACACATTTGACACCCCTATTCCAACTTTTATGATAAAATTCTAATTTTTTGGGGTTAGATAGAACTTCAATGGTGGGGTTACATATTTTCTAGGGTGAGTTACAACTTTTATAGATTGAATTTTAACCTTTTGGGTTATGTTACACTTTTTGGGATCAAGTTTCAAACTTTTTAGGAGTATGTAATAATTTTTGGAGTTGAATTACAATCTTTTTGGTGTTACAAGTTTTCGGGTTGGAATACAATTTTTGGGTCATTACCACTTTTTTGGGTTATAACTTTTTCGGTTTAAATATATACCAGTTTTCTCGATCATTTTTTTAGAGATACATGTAAGGTAAAGAAGGTCATTTACTTTTCGATACCATACGGAAAAGGAAGTTTTCGGTATCCAAGTGTATTCCAAGTTTAAAAAGACTTTGTGTAATTAGGTGAACATTTATGATTCCCAACTAAATTATCCACCACTAAGAGATGGATGCAGAATGCGGTAGTTTAGTAAATAATGCGATAAATATAGGTATGGTGGGTCTTGTCACTAATAAGTTAGATATAAATGGATTGAATTTAATGGTTTTATATAATACAATTAAAGGAGATAGGGATGAATTTTTGTGGGGTGGGATTTTTCTTTCGGGTAAAATTTAATTTACCCTATTGTGGTTTGGGTGTTTTGCACAGGACTACCCTATGGTTTACATTATTCCTTGTACTTTTGGACCAATTTGAACAATTAACACCGTTAACAAAAATAATAAAATGACCTTAATACCCTCAAAATCTCAACCGTTAAATCCTTAAATAGGTCACGATCTCCCCTCTTTTGTCTTCACACCCTCCAATTACCAAATACTTGTCACCTTCCCAATGACCTAAGACATTGACTAAAGACTCTGGTCAATCAAGTTCCACAAGAACTTGTTACACTAAATCACACCCAGGTCAGCAATCCCCCCCCCTCCCTCTCTCTCTCTCTGTGTAACAACCTCACTGCCCCCTCTTTTTCTCTCCATCTCTTCTCGTCAGCAACTCTTTATCTCCTCGTTCTTTCTCGTCACACGAAATTAACATTGTCCTCTGTCTCTGTTATCAATTAGATCTCAATTTTTCATTTTGGATTTCAATTCGATTTTATTGCAATGTCATTAGCCCTGTTTTATTGTGCTTGATTGATTGAATTTGGTTTTGAAGTTGTGGTAGTGGCAGTTATGCGCAGTAGGGAGCAATTTAGTGGAGCCATTGGCCGACTGTAGGGTGGAGATTTATTGGTGGTGGATCTGTACAAAGGTTATGGTGGGTGATTAATTGGTGTTGTTGCAAAATAGAAATAACGGAGGTTGTGGTGTTGCACAGTCAGACTGTTGGAGGTGGATTGGTGTTGTTGCACAGTAAAATAGTGGAGCTTGTGGTGTACGCATTGGGATTGGTGGTGATAATGGGTGACAACACTTGGAGAAGAAACAGAAAACACAGTAGCTTGGAAATACGAAGAAGGGTATTATTGTAATTTTATTGTATTTGTTTTTGGTGGGAAATACTTTTTGTTATATCAGACCTCTGGTTAGGCACATGTATGTCACAGACAGTCTAATGTGACGGAAAAGCTAACGGTATTACTTTAGTAAAATAGTACAAGGGGATAATGTGCTGATTTTCGAACCACAAAGAGATCATGTGCAAAATATACAAACGATAAACTGAATTTTACCCTAATTTTTTTTTGGGACCAATTGTGGGGGTGGGATAACCCCACTCAAAAAGTATAAATTGNCCGTCTAATGTGACGGAAAAGCTAACGGTATTACTTTAGTAAAATAGTACAAGGGGATAATGTGCTGATTTTCGAACCACAAGGAGATCATGTGCAAAATATCCAAACGATAAACTGAATTTTACCCTAATTTTTTTTGGGACCAATTGTGGGGGTGGGATAACCCCACTCAAAAAGTATAAATTGTGTGAAAATAAGGGTTAAAAAGGCTGTGTCTGTGGTACCACAGAAGTAACGTGTTGAAATTGATCTTAATTTTGGTTTGGATAATTTAAATTTATTAATTTAAAAATAATAAAAAGGGTTAATTATAAGTTACATCCCGAAAGATAGTTCGAGTCTCAATTTATACCTTCAAAGATAAAAAATTTTAATTTGTACCATCAAAGATAAAAATTTGTATCAATGTGCATCCCCAAAGATAAAAAATCTTAATTTACACCCTCAAAAATAGAAATTTGTATCAATGTGCATCTAAAATTAAATTAATAAATTANCCTCAAAGATAAAAAATTTCAATTTGTACCATCAAAGATAAAAATTTGTATCAATGTGCATCCCCAAAGATAAAAAATCTTAATTTATACCCTCAAAAATAGAAATTTGTATCAATGTGCATCTAAAATTAAATTAATAAATTATACCTAGATCCCTTGTGCTTATCATTTAATCATTTGGACCCCTTCACGTTTAGAATATTACTCTCACATCTCATGGCGTTTATGCACGTGTAACACGTAACCCTTTTTTGTTGATGTGTGATAATATAACCGTTAAAAAATATGATTTTATTCTAATAAAAANACTTAATCATTTGGACCCCTTCGCGTTTAAAATATTACTCTCACATCTCATGGCGTTTATGCACGTGCAACACGTAACCCTTTTTTTGTTGATGTGTGATAATATAACCGTTAAAAAATATGATTTTATTCTAATAAAAAATTATAATTTCATACTACCCTTTTTTTATGAGTCCGATATACTCTAAAGTTCAAAATTAAACTTACCATTTGAATGTCCAATAGAAATGTAGATATTTATATAATATTTTTTATATCCAATGTAATATATCATTTAATGTGCAACCCTTTATTCTATTAGACNGGGTCCGAGATACTCTAAAATTCAAAATTAAACTTATCATTTGAATGTCCAATAGAAATGTAGATATTTATATAATATTTTTTATATCCAATGTAATATATCATTTAATGTGCAACCCTTTATTCTATTAGACATTCAAATGGTAAGTTTGATTTTGAATTTTAGATTGGACCCATAAAATAAAGGATAATATGAAATTTTAATTTTTTATTAAGATAAAATTATATTTTTTAACGGTTATATTAACAAATATCAACGAAAAGGGGTTACGTGTTACACGTGCACAAACGTTTATGAGATGTATGAGTAATATTCTAAATGTGAAGAAGTCCAAATAATTAAGTGTCAAGCATAAGGGATTTAGGTATAACTTATCAATTTAGTTTTAGGTGCACGTTGATACAAATTTCTATATTTGAGGGTGCAAATTGAGATTTTTGATCTTTGGGGGTGCNTATGAGATGTATGAGTAATATTCTAAATGTGAAGAGGTCCAAATAATTAAGTGTCAAGCATAAGGGATTTAGGTATAACTTATCAATTTAGTTTTAGGTGCACGTTGATACAAATTTCTATATTTGAGGGTGCAAATTGAGATTTTTGATCTTTGGGGGTGCACATTAATACAAATTTCTATCTTTGAGGGTATAAATTANGCACGTTGATACAAATTTCTATATTTGAGGGTGCAAATTGAGATTTTTGATCTTTGGGGGTGCACATTAATACAAATTTCTATCTTTGAAGATATAAATTAAGATTTTTTATCTTTGAAAGTACAAATTGAGATTCGAATGATCTTTCAGGGTATAATTTGTAATTAACCCTAATAAAAAAATTTTAATAAAATAAATAAATTTATTTATTGGATGAAAAATAAAGCGTAAAATACATTNTAAGATTTTTTATCTTTGAAAGTACAAATTGAGATTCGAATGATCTTTCAGGGTGTAATTTGTAATTAACCCTAATAAAAAAATTTAATAAAATAAATAAATTTATTTATTGGATGAAAAATAAAGCGTAAAATACATTTTTAATCCTTAAAGTATGTATTTAATTTCTATTTGGTCCTCAATCTTTCAATTATATCTATTTGATCCCTAATGTTTCTAATTTTTATCTACGTGGTCCAATCCCAAATGTCTATCAGAAAATCGTGACGTCTTTGATCACTTGCCAATCACATAGTTACTAATTTTGTGTTCATTTGGTCCTTAAAATTTTTAATTTGTGTCTATTTGATATTTACAGTTTCTAATTTGTCTCTATTTGGTTCTACATGATTGGCTCGTGACCAAAGTCATTAATAATTTTCTGATAGACGTTTGAAATTAGACCACGTAAATGAAAATTATGAACCTTAGGAACCACATGGACACTATACATATTTTGAGGAGTAGAAGTGTATTTTACTCAAAATAAATTTAGAATTGACCCGGATCCGGGTTAATAAACATGGCCTCAGTAATATTGACCAGGTTAACCAGCTGAACCCGAAAAACAGTTCTCTCTTGTGATAGCCTACGGTTCCTGATTTATAGGGTGGGGACGAATTAGGGTTTTTTTCTTTTTTTTCACTTAGGCACGCACATGCACAGAGCAAACAATGGAGGAGGAAGACGAAAGGAGAGAAGCGGCAATAGCATCGGCCCCTTCTTTACAGCCCAATTTCAAGCCTGATGGTGGAGGTGGCGTTACCAAACATCAGATCTCCAAGTTCCAAGTACTTCTCGCATTCCTAGGTTTCCCTTTAATTTCTGTTGATGGCTAATTTATCTATAATGATTCAGAGACGAAATTTATGTTTTTTTTTTTGCACCATTATGTGAGACCTTTCTATTTCAAATACGATTGAATTTTGAACTTTTAACCTTACCTCGGATGTTGCAATGGTTTACAGAGATGAATTTCAATGTTGAACTGATAGTCTTTGTTACCAAAGAGGTGAAAAAAAATAAAATTTGTTGTAGTGCTTGCTTGTGACAATGAAGTGGTTTTTTTTATTTTTATGTTTTTCAATAAGAAACAACTATTTTATTGATAATAATAGTGAAAGAAGTGGTACGATAACTCCTCAAAGGTGGACAATTCATCCAGATGAAGTGGTTTTAATTAGAATTGGGCATTTTAGTGTAACCGATAGTATTGGGGTGAATGGAAACCTGTCTGTCTGGTAGAATATTTTGTGCAATATGCATGATTATAATTGTTCATTGCCTTTTTTTGTTTTCTTTTGGCAAAGTAGGATTTTTGTAGAACTCATAAAATTAGTATATAATTCTGGGGAAATTAACTCCTCTAATTTAGTAGTTTCTTAATGCATATTTAGGCTAGAGCTAGAGAAAAAAAAATCCATGGTCAGCTTGCATTCTTTCACTGCTCAGATGTCTGCTCATCCATTAGCCTCAGGATGAGCGTGGACCACCTACTGCACCTCCACTGGCCTCATGAGGTAACTGCAATCAATGAAATGTGAGCATCGGGATGTTTAGTTGCCGGTTTAGTACTGGTTAATTCTTAGACGGTCATTGCGTCACAACTCTTCCTTTGTTTTGCCTTTATGTCAGTTGAAAGCCATGTCTTAGTGCCCATAGTTTTACTTCTACTCTGGTAGCAAGAATCAATGGTCATACTACTGTGTTTTTAAGAAAAATTCACAGAATATCCATTCTTTTTAATTTATTTACCCAATTATGGTAGTTTTTAGAAGAGCGTGGGATGAACCCATGTTTTTCAATAAAAAAGTGTGTTTGCATACTTTCAAGGTTTTTTTTTTTGTTGTTGAAACTGTGTTTTGCAAGCACGCTTTTTCATTCAAATTACTATAGTTTGGTAAATAAGAGAATAAAGTTAGAAAAGAGCCATATTTTGATTAAAAATAAACTCCAGGAAGCAATGCCAACTTACTGTGAGAGTCTAGCAACCTACTGCCCAATGTGGTCCCGAATCACACCACCTCCAGATAGACCTAGCATTTAGTAATGAATAAAAATTACACTAAATGGCTTCTTGAAAAGATTCAAATGTAAGGTATGGTGGAAAATTTATTAGCTAGAAGGCATTCTTAAGTGAGAATTTCAAATGGAGGCCTAATCCATGGGGTTGCCTGGAAGTTCTTTCTCGAACTCAAGTACTGAAGGGCAGGTTCAGATGGTGTTGTCCTCTTGCTGTCTGACGCATTTTCTTGCGGTGATTAGATACAGGTGCTTGTGCAAACTTTACACTGAATCTAGACAAAGTTTCTAGAGGTAGGAGACAACAATAATCGTTAGACATGAATAAACAAGTTCGGGAAATGAAATTGTCGTCTTTGATAAACTGTTATATGTATGGCAAAGGCCTGAAAAGTGTAGAATGTGTGCTAGAATACAAGAAGTAAAATATAAAATATATGTAAGATGAAGAGATTTGTTGCTTGACATCCTTTCAGATGAGGTGTCAGGTAACTCTACTTGTGGTTCGTTGTTTTGGTTATCTAACATGTAATCTTTCAAGATGCCATCTCCCTTGCTTGAGTCTTGTGCTGTTGATAGTCCTTATGGGTTTGAGTCCTCTATGGGGGGTTGAACACTGTCTTTGCTTCGTAATTATCCACTAACAACTTACTGTCTTTGCTTCATTATTATCCACTAACAACTTACTGTCTTTGCTTCGTAATTATCCGCCAACAACTTACTGTCTTTGCCTCTCCATCATCATTTTTTACCCCCTCATTTATCCCTCTTCCTGAGTACTGGGAACTTTTTTTTTCCTGATAGGAATTGCATAGGAGGCGTTTACAAATTAAAGAAAAAACAACAAATAAAAAGAAATCCAAAGGTTTGTTTTCTAGTTATCTTTTTAGTGCTTGAAGATTATTTTCAGGATAGGTTTTGTAAGACGTTGAAATTTGTTTGCAGGGATAGTTGATAGGACTAGCAAATCTCATGGGATGGCAATCAATGCTAAGGATTGTACAGATGAAAATACGAGTAAAACAATTGAAGATTCTACTATTCTCATCTCAAAAAGCTGTGACATTAAGGATATTTGTGCTCGCCAGCAGGATGTTGTAGCAGCTTCTATTGCGTCAAGGAAGCGCCAGAAGTTACATTGGGGGTATAAATTTCGTTCAAATTAGTAACATTTAACCAGTGAAAATGAGCATAGATCATCAGCTTCTTTAACATGCATGATGCAACATGTCAATGCTGCAATATTGAATTTATTTTGTACTGTATATTATATTATCTTTTAGTACTTATTCCATTTTTGTTTTCTTTTGGATTGGTAGGCTTGACACAAAAGAAAGGTGGGAAAGGAAATCGAACATGTAGGGATACGAGAGTAAATGCAGCTTTTTGCTGTGATTGCGGACATATCACGCTGAAGACATTCTCTTGAGGTTAGAAGATAGGGCTGTTCAACTTCAACGATTGGTTTGGCTGGTACAAATCAGAATTCTCCACCGTGCCAGAATCTGGTCATATTTTTGTTGGTCGGTGAATCTGGTTATGTTACTGTAAATGCTTTATGGGAAGCTCCGGTACTGCTTTTTATCTTTGAAATAACTGTATGTGAAAATGAAAATTAAAGTTGCTGTAAGAGAGATGGAGTCTCTTCGTTAGCTCTGGTACTACTTTTATCAAGGTTTGATGCTCACTAAAGTTGAGAGCATTGGGACAGGGTAATGGCAGATTTTTCTATGATTGAGCTTTGATCAAAAAATTGTTATAGGCCACATATAGCTATGCATCTATGAGTTTCTCTGCTCCCATCCATTCAACCGAACCCCTCCCCTTTCTTGATTCATAATAACATCATTTTCTCAACACTTCCATTAGCTTTGCTGAAATCCATTCAGAAATTCCAACGTACATTTTCTTCATTCGCCCACGCTTCTCAGTTGAAATTTGTGGGTGGCAAACTTCTTAGTGCAACATCTTGCACAGTTTATATATTGACACGCACGCGCACACATCCGTCTGGTTAATGCTTTTTCAGAAGTTAATCACGCCTCAAGCCTACCACAACTAGGATCCGACATATAGCATCATAAGAAGTAAAGTTCGGCAATCTGAGTTCACACAAGATTATAATACAATTAAAGAACCGAATCACAAATCTTAACTCATATAACAGAGCCACATTGCCCAATCCAACATGTCACAATGTCTAAACACTTCCCTAACACTAGTCACATTTCAGATCAAACGCTCAAATGAAGGACAGCAAAATGGTGGGTAACAAAGTTTTCCCAAGTCCTTTTCTCAGCATAATATAGGGGTACAGCAGGAGAGCAGTTCCTAAGGTCGAGATCAGTGAGCTGTAGAAACAGATCTTATTTTCATGACACACTTATAAGTATCCTGCTTAAATTGCTGGGTTAAGGGCACGTTCTATTTCCTCGAGTGATCTTCCCTTTGTTTCCACAACATTACCAGCTATATACAAGACGGCAAGAAGACAGACAGCCGCAAATCCAAGGTACACTGTACTGATACCAAACTTATTTACAACGCTCAAAAAATACAGGCCGATGACGAAATTAGATATCTGTTCAAGCAGAAAACAATGTAGTTTAAACCAACAGCGAAAGGCAATCCAAAGTATAAAGACTAATACATCATCATCATAAAAGATATCTTTTCAATGTTCATGTATTCTCTCATGCATGGGTTGTAGACTAGTGTAGTTTTTGCAAAAACTATATTTCAAGACAAAAACACAATAGAAAGAAAATGGCCATACTTCTAGTTTCGTGATGTGCGTATGTNTGCACCATTATGTGAGACCTTTCTATTTCAAATACGATTGAATTTTGAACTTTTAACCTTACCTCGGATGTTGCAATGGTTTACAGAGATGAATTTCAATGTTGAACTGATAGTCTTTGTTACCAAAGAGGTGAAAAAAAATAAAATTTGTTGTAGTGCTTGCTTGTGACAATGAAGTGGTTTTTTTTATTTTTATGTTTTTCAATAAGAAACAACTATTTTATTGATAATAATAGTGAAAGAAGTGGTACGATAACTCCTCAAAGGTGGACAATTCATCCAGATGAAGTGGTTTTAATTAGAATTGGGCATTTTTGTGAAACCGATAGTATTGGGGTGAATGGAAACCTGTCTGTCTGGTAGAATATTTTGTGCAATATGCATGATTATAATTGTTCATTGCCTTTTTTTGTTTTCTTTTGGCAATGTAGGATTTTTGTAGAACTCATAAAATTAGTTTATAATTCTGGGGAAATTAACTCCTCTAATTTAGTAGTTTCTTAATGCATATTTAGGCTAGAGCTAGAGAAAAAAAAATCCATGGTCAGCTTGCATTCTTTCACTGCTCAGATGTCTGCTCATCCATTAGCCTCAGGATGAGCGTGGACCACCTACTGCACCTCCACTGGCCTCATGAGGTAACTGCAATCAATGAAATGTGAGCATCGGGATGTTTAGTTGCCGGTTTAGTACTGGTTAATTCTTAGACGGTCATTGCGTCACAACTCTTCCTTTGTTTTGCCTTTATGTCAGTTGAAAGCCATGTCTTAGTGCCCATAGTTTTACTTCTACTCTGGTAGCAAGAATCAATGGTCATACTACTGTGTTTTTAAGAAAAATTCACAGAATATCCATTCTTTTTAATTTATTTACCCAATTATGGTAGTTTTTAGAAGAGCGTGGGATGAACCCATGTTTTTCAATAAAAAAGTGTGTTTGCATACTTTCAAGGTTTTTTTTTTTGTTGTTGAAACTGTGTTTTGCAAGCACGCTTTTTCATTCAAATTACTATAGTTTGGTAAATAAGAGAATAAAGTTAGAAAAGAGCCATATTTTGATTAAAAATAAACTCCAGGAAGCAATGCCAACTTACTGTGAGAGTCTAGCAACCTACTGCCCAATGTGGTCCCGAATCACACCACCTCCAGATAGACCTAGCATTTAGTAATGAATAAAAATTACACTAAATGGCTTCTTGAAAAGATTCAAATGTAAGGTATGGTGGAAAATTTATTAGCTAGAAGGCATTCTTAAGTGAGAATTTCAAATGGAGGCCTAATCCATGGGGTTGCCTGGAAGTTCTTTCTCGAACTCAAGTACTGAAGGGCAGGTTCAGATGGTGTTGTCCTCTTGCTGTCTGACGCATTTTCTTGCGGTGATTAGATACAGGTGCTTGTGCAAACTTTACACTGAATCTAGACAAAGTTTCTAGAGGTAGGAGACAACAATAATCGTTAGACATGAATAAACAAGTTCGGGAAATGAAATTGTCGTCTTTGATAAACTGTTATATGTATGGCNTACTTGTGCAAACTTTACACTGAATCTAGACAAAGTTTCTAGAGGTAGGAGACAACAATAATCGTTAGACATGGATAAACAAGTTCGGGAAATGAAATTGTCGTCTTTGATAAACTGTTATATGTATGGCAAAGGCCTGAAAAGTGTAGAATGTGTGCTAGAATACAAGAAGTAAAATATAAAATATATGTAAGATGAAGAGATTTGTTGCTTGACATCCTTTCAGATGAGGTGTCAGGTAACTCTACTTGTGGTTCGTTGTTTTGCTTATCTAACATGTAATCTTTCAAGATGCCATCTACCTTGCTTGAGTCTTGTGCTGTTGATAGTCCTTATGGGTTTGAGTCCTCTATGGGGGGTTGAACACTGTCTTTGCTTCGTAATTATCCACTAACAACTTACTGTCTTTGCTTCATTATTATCCACTAACAACTTACTGTCTTTGCTTCGTAATTATCCGCCAACAACTTACTGTCTTTGCCTCTCCATCATCATTTTTTACCCCCTCATTTATCCCTCTTCCTGAGTACTGGGAACTTTTTTTTTCCTGATAGGAATTGCATAGGAGGCGTTTACAAATTAAAGAAAAAACAACAAATAAAAAGAAATCCAAAGGTTTGTTTTCTAGTTATCTTTTTAGTGCTTGAAGATTATTTTCAGGATAGGTTTTGTAAGACGTTGAAATTTGTTTGCAGGGATAGTTGATAGGACTAGCAAATCTCATGGGATGGCAATCAATGCTAAGGATTGTACAGATGAAAATACGAGTAAAACAATTGAAGATTCTACTATTCTCATCTCAAAAAGCTGTGACATTAAGGATATTTGTGCTCGCCAGCAGGATGTTGTAGCAGCTTCTATTGCGTCAAGGAAGCGCCAGAAGTTACATTGGGGGTATAAATTTCGTTCAAATTAGTAACATTTAACCAGTGAAAATGAGCATAGATCATCAGCTTCTTTAACATGCATGATGCAACATGTCAATGCTGCAATATTGAATTTATTTTGTACTGTATATTATATTATCTTTTAGTACTTATTCCATTTTTGTTTTCTTTTGGATTGGTAGGCTTGACACAAAAGAAAGGTGGGAAAGGAAATCGAACATGTAGGGATACGAGAGTAAATGCAGCTTTTTGCTGTGATTGCGGACATATCACGCTGAAGACATTCTCTTGAGGTTAGAAGATAGGGCTGTTCAACTTCAACGATTGGTTTGGCTGGTACAAATCAGAATTCTCCACCGTGCCAGAATCTGGTCATATTTTTGTTGGTCGGTGAATCTGGTTATGTTACTGTAAATGCTTTATGGGAAGCTCCGGTACTGCTTTTTATCTTTGAAATAACTGTATGTGAAAATGAAAATTAAAGTTGCTGTAAGAGAGATGGAGTCTCTTCGTTAGCTCTGGTACTACTTTTATCAAGGTTTGATGCTCACTAAAGTTGAGAGCATTGGGACAGGGTAATGGCAGATTTTTCTATGATTGAGCTTTGATCAAAAAATTGTTATAGGCCACATATAGCTATGCATCTATGAGTTTCTCTGCTCCCATCCATTCAACCGAACCCCTCCCCTTTCTTGATTCATAATAACATCATTTTCTCAACACTTCCATTAGCTTTGCTGAAATCCATTCAGAAATTCCAACGTACATTTTCTTCATTCGCCCACGCTTCTCAGTTGAAATTTGTGGGTGGCAAACTTCTTAGTGCAACATCTTGCACAGTTTATATATTGACACGCACGCGCACACATCCGTCTGGTTAATGCTTTTTCAGAAGTTAATCACGCCTCAAGCCTACCACAACTAGGATCCGACATATAGCATCATAAGAAGTAATGTTCGGCAATCTGAGTTCACACAAGATTATAATACAATTAAAGAACCGAATCACAAATCTTAACTCATATAACAGAGCCACATTGCCCAATCCAACATGTCACAATGTCTAAACACTTCCCTAACACTAGTCACATTTCAGATCAAACGCTCAAATGAAGGACAGCAAAATGGTGGGTAACAAAGTTTTCCCAAGTCCTTTTCTCAGCATAATATAGGGGTACAGCAGGAGAGCAGTTCCTAAGGTCGAGATCAGTGAGCTGTAGAAACAGATCTTATTTTCATGACACACTTATAAGTATCCTGCTTAAATTGCTGGGTTAAGGGCACGTTCTATTTCCTCGAGTGATCTTCCCTTTGTTTCCACAACATTACCAGCTATATACAAGACGGCAAGAAGACAGACAGCCGCAAATCCAAGGTACACTGTACTGATACCAAACTTATTTACAACGCTCAAAAAATACAGGCCGATGACGAAATTAGATATCTGTTCAAGCAGAAAACAATGTAGTTTAAACCAACAGCGAAAGGCAATCCAAAGTATAAAGACTAATACATCATCATCATAAAAGATATCTTTTCAATGTTCATGTATTCTCTCATGCATGGGTTGTAGACTAGTGTAGTTTTTGCAAAAACTATATTTCAAGACAAAAACACAATAGAAAGAAAATGGCCATACTTCTAGTTTCGTGATGTGCGTATGTGAGTGCTTAGTTGGGTTAAATTACGTCATTTGGGTTTCAGGTAGTGACAATTTATCTCCTTATATTTAAAACCTACACTTCACCCTTTAAAATTTAGTCCTAAAGTGTACCAGCTTACCAGGTTAACAATTTTGTATTAAATGACACTAAAACCATCCATTTTTTGTATTCGTAGTGTTCTTCTTCCTAAAAATTTATACAACTCGAAGAATCTACTCAAGATATACAATACAAATGGCCAAGAGAGAAAGGGATCAATTTATTTAAAAGAGAGAACCAAAAACAAATATAATATATGGTATAAAAATAATTTTGACATTTGAGTTAACTTTTATGGAATTACTCAAGGTTTCAGTCCTGTCCATAAACAGGACGATAGTTGGAAATTTCTAAAGTATAAGAAGCTGATGTGTTACTGAGTCAACTCGCACCAAAGTAAATTGAAATTTGCCCTTTTAGTTACCAGTCAAATGATTATTTTACCTATCTCTATTTTATTTTATTTACCTCTGCATGACGAGACAATTTTGTTTGAACAAAAACAGAGCAATTTTACTCTGCAGGATTAATTTATTTGGTTGAGAGTGAAACCAATCACAAGCAACAGCAAAGAAGCCACAGCTAAAATATTGGTGTCATGACTTACCCAATGCATCCCTAGTGATAAGGCAACTGCTTTTGCTCTAATTCTAGAGGCAAATATCTCTGGAAGTAGAAGAGCAGGCACAGGACCAGCACCAAGCGAAAAGGACAATACATAACTGTGTAAATAGAATGAAAGTTGAGTATAAATTTCATAGGTCATTATTAAACAAAAACTATCCATTGGAGCAAGAAGACTATCAGAGTCAACCACTAAGGAAATAATTTGACTCACAGGACAGTCCCCAGAACAGCTAGTGTGCCAGAATATGGTGCCAGGGCCTTCCAGGTGAAAGACAGCGAAAGTAACAACATTGAAGCAGCCTTCAAAACGGGAAAAAAAGTGTAAACATAAGCCAGTCATAAGCTAACTATTAGATAAAAGATTGAACGAAACCCCCAAATACAATAAAAAGACTAAGATATCTTGTCCTTCAAACTTTGCTACACATGCAGATACTTCTAATTTTGTACTATTCTTTCTGGCTCAATGCCATCCACAACTAGAAGATAATTTAAATCAACGAACAAATTCATCTGGTAGCCAATAAAAACATCATCAACAATAAAATGCAGTGTGATTTCAAACATTGATCAGAACCCAAATTCAGTGCTGCCTTCCTGGCATTTCGAACACATATCTACAACAAGGACCCTAAGAAGCAGAGACGGGGCTAACAAGGTGATGTCTCTATGTCTGACACGTATCACATACCGACACTTTTTGGACACACACACACGTCGTGACGATAAATAATAAAGAGGTAAAGTGGACAAGTCGTCAAACCAGAAATACAGAGACAAAAAAAAAACAAACAATGAATCTTGGGTCTTAGATACATAAGATCCTAATTATTCATCACAAATTGCTCTCCACCCTGCTACAATGCAAAATAGAAGAATTCTTTAAAATTCTTTAGTGACCGAAGCCCAAAAAGATCATTTAATAGCAAGAAAATACATTCGATCCCAAATCCTTCCACCACCTCGCACATATCATCATTTAATAGCAGTCCTCTCCAACATGCATGAACTAGTACTTAATAGGCATTTTAGCTCAAAGACGAGAGAAAAAAAGTACTTGAGGGATCATCAAAATATATTCAAAGAAAAACTTCAAAGAAAAGACATTTGAATGATCAACAAGCCAATTTCTTTTATAAAAAATCCCATGATTAAAATTGAAGTCATTAACAATAGAAAGAATCAAACTCGAAGTGGCTCTATCTTCAAGATTGCTACTTCTCGAGCACTTGCTAACTATCGGAAATTCAACATATGACTATCTTATATGACAGAGAAGTATGATCGTTAAGGCTAATTATATTACACTTTTACTTGAAACTTATTAGAAAAAGCTGAAAAACATAGAGTTGAGATCTTGAGAAGAAAAAATCTATCATTATAATTATGTATGCTTGCAACCTTTTTTCTTTAAATGGGTGATTATTACTAGGGTCCATTGCACTAAATACATGTTAGGGTAGTAGATATATGATTTACCTATCATTAAGTTTTTCTTTTCTTGTATTGTGCAGCTAAATAACCATAATTTAGTAAAAAATATATTTTGACTATACATTGCACAATTATTTGTACCTTGCCTTGTGTCCATGTCCCATTTTATAGATTTGCCTTGTCAACATGTATGTGCCGTGCCATATGGTGTATTTGTCCCGTTTCCATGTAAGCACCAATCATGATCATAATCATGATTGTTAAGAAAACAGATCATATCAAATTACAGGATGTAAAATGAGAGAATTATCCATACTGTGTTTTTCTCAACACTATGAAAGCATTAACAATCAGTGTTTCCTGACTTATACTTCTGAATAATGTAATATCTATTGTTAGTTGTTACCCAAGCTTCGGACCCTGAAATTGATGAACAATCACTAACATAAAGCAATGGTAGGGAGGAAAAATAATGAAAAGCTTAATAAATGCAAAAACCTGATCGAAGTATTTAACTTAAAGCTTTATTAGCCCAAAAGTTAATTGACGGAAAAGTATGCAATTTGATGCCATTTGATGCCAAACCCACGTAGTTGGCTTAACACTGTTGAATTATTAGGCATTTGCCCCAGAGAATGTAAATATGAATCTTATATGAGTATTCATGTCCATGTGCTTCATATCTGTAGAAAAATTAAGGATGGGAAATACCATTCCAGCAAAGCTTGTAATCAGAAGACTTTTCCTTCCCTGCTTATCCATTAAAGAGGATGCCACAGTTGTACCTACCAAAAAAAAAAAACAGTCAATCACATGAAATATAAGATGCAAAATAACATTTCTATTAAACTTCTTAAGCATACTAACCAAAAACATTTGACGCCCCAACCAGAGCACTGGCGGCAACATCAGATGTAATTCCAGCACTACGAAACACAGAAGTAGAATAGTATACCACAGCATTTATTCCAGCCAACTGTTGGAACAAGAAAAGTGATGCACCAACACTGACAACTGCAGCAATAGATAGATGTCAGAAATTTGGTCTTTGCTACTTTCTCAAGGAGGTATCAGGGACCACATATAACAGAATGAGTAAGAAACATGTCACGCTTGTTGGTGATAATAATATAGAACAGATTTTGAACTTAATTGTCTATCAATATTTTTGTTGGGAGAGTGAACCGAGGGATTGTCATTTGCACGGCTGACCATATTCAGACTCAACTATGTGCCTCTTTCCCTGTCAAGAACATATTCTGATTAATTGGAAAATACTGTATCACATTACATACATAACAAGGCCTACCAAGAGATGAAGAGATACAATTAATTGTTTGCCATGGATAAAATGTCAATGTCATCTTCAAAAAGAAGAATAATCTAGGACAACTCACACATTATGTTGCATCCCTAAACACTAAACCTTCCTCTACCCCACCCCCAAAAAAACAAAATGTTAGTATTCATGAAGCAACCCCTGGAAAAACCAAAGCAGAAGATATCAAAAATCATAACAGTGCACATCAGTAATCTTTGTTTCAATGGAACTTAGACCTTCACAAGCTCTTCAGATTTGTAGCGATAGGAAGCATGAAGATTGGCATCTAACAAGATGCAGGTAACATTTAAAAGAGCAAATGGAAGTATAAAAGATATTGTGTTTAAATGGATGCTATGGCCCTCACACTTATTAAGTGTGAGTGGTTGTAGTTATCCTATGTTAAAAAAAAAGCATACTAGTCCATGTGTGTTCCGGGGTGACTCTGCTTGTGGGCTCTGTTTCTTCCCTAGTTGGGTCAGGGCCAGAGCCAGACAATAGGTTGGGTGAGGCCTTAGGGCCTGGGTGGGTAAGGGCTGGGGCTATCCCACATCGGATAGCCTTCAGGTGTGTGTTGTGTTTAAATGGATGCTATGGCCCTCACACTTTTTAAGTGTGAGTGGTTGTAGTTATCCTATGTTCCAAAAAAAAAGTATAAAAGATAATGTAGTAGCCGTTTTTGAATTTTTAGGGCAAAAGCTTTGAAGCAAATAAACCAGACACTATAACACCGATGCCCCATGTATTTCTGGCATTCAACCAACACAATCTACTATGTCATGTGGCTTACTCTAGCATCAACATAAATATGCAGCATGGCCAATTATACTGTTGCCATTCCGCATATTGTCCCTGAGATCTGATACAAGAAGCTTTTGATTATTCGAGGTATACCTTTATTATACCGGCTACTGAAAAGATCAAACCACCCAGCTTCTTGTTCTGAAGAACCTTGAGCTGCAGCATTTAGATCATTCATAACTTCAGCAACTCTTTCTTTTCCAAATAGCCTTTTAATAGCTGTTTCAGCTTGAGAGATTTTCCCTTGCTGCGAAGACATTTTGCGTAGCTTAGCAATAAAATAGATGAGCAATAACCTAGAATGCAAACATATTGCATGCACAACAAAATTGCACACAAAACAGGCAAAGACAGTTTTTGACCACAGGACTTAATCGCTTGCAAAAGAAACCTGATAGAGCCACCGAGGGCTTTCTGGAGAAAATGCCATTCCAAGTGCCAAAAGTATAGAAGGAACAACAGCAACAGCAAACATTGTTCTCCACCTGACAAAGATGTACAGAGGACAGAATAAGAGACAAAAGTGGTGATAATACTGAAATAAATTGTGTACATGCCGAACTCAGAGGAATAACAAATATCACTTTAAAACAAAACTTTTAAATTCCCAGAAGGGAGTTGTACAAATAAACCTCAATCAGTGTGATAAATAATCACTTACTCATCGTAACATGTACTTATTATCGAAGCATAAAATCTTCGACTGAATAAAATTTGAAGTCTCTGCTGGTTGATGCAAGATTGATTTAAAACTTGATAACAAACTGGAAGAAACTCAAAGAAAAAAAAGATGACCATAGGAAAGAAGTCAATGCAATGGCAAAATGGCTCTGGTCCTTTTGATTGGCTGGAAAAAGATGAAGTCAAAACTCAGGTATACTGATGGTTCAGGGCTTAGGGTTAAACGTTGGAGGCACTATTCTGGAAGTAACATTTTCTAAACAACAGAGGGAAATCAGATTTTATATAAACATCGCAGAAAAATCTTGACATAAAATCATAAAAATGCGCCTTGGAACATAAATTTCCATTTGGAGAATTTGATTCAATGAACCAATATAAAATATCCCTTGCAATGTGAAGATAGATACAAAATTGTGGTGCAAGACAAATCCTTTGCACAACCATCCAGAGAGCAATGTGTTGTTATTAACCAAGTGCCTAAGCTTGCATAATGAAATATGAACAAAAAATATTACTTTTAAACAATAACAAGAGTGAGAAGGCAAAAGTCATAAATTAGGTTTTCTGGGGTGCTCATCTAATGACTTTCTAATTTTATTCCATTATGAAATGGTCACACCAAGCATTTTTATGACCTAATGCCACAACATAGACATCACACATGGAAGTAAAGAGAATGCTCCATTAGCACTAGGTTGCCCCAATTCAATGTTCTATGGAACTTCAGAACTCCAACTTGATTATACAAGGACGATGAGTTTGTAGTCTCTTTATATTTGACGTAAGTAAATATTTTCATAGTATGGCACATGTACCCATGTTGCTGTCTCTATGTGCTTAGCTGCACATGATCAATGCAAATATTCAATGGCACAAGGATTTCATCTCATGGCAAAAGAGGATAAGAACTGGCAAGGGGAGAATTACAAAGTGATTCCCTGGTGTTATATGGTATTATTTAAAGCCAATTACCATTTATTTTAGTACCTAAGCCGTGCAAGTTGTCTTCATTTTTCCCTCATGATAAAAGCTATTGAACTACTTATAGCCCTTCAATTATCTAAAAATTATGCCAATTAAGAGAAGAAACCTGTCAAATTGTCATTATTATTTCTAAAAGTTACAATATGAGACAGAGCACATATGCAAAAAGCTTAATGAGAAGAGTTTGATGTTTTTGGATGTTGGAGTAACGCGTTGGTACAATAATGTCCAACAAGATAGAATGAGTTAAATGACTCAAGCTAATGTAAAGCAGGAAAAAGGAAAATCAAAACACACGTGGATAAACAAAAAAAAAATCAGAACAAAAGGTAAAGCACAATTTGAAAACTTTAAAGATCAACACGATCTAGGTGGCCAAGACAAATAGGTTTTTATAACTTAGACAAAACAAAATCCACCATTAGGTTCTGCCTGTTAGCGACATTAACAAGTTANGAGGATAAACAAAAAAAAAATCAGAACAAAAGGTAAAGCACAATTTAAAAACTTTAAAGATCAACACGATCTAGGTGGCCAAGACAAATAGGTTTTATAACTTAGACAAAACAAAATCCACCATTAGGTTCTGCCTGTTAGCGACATTAACAAGTTATGTCAGTTTGTACTCTAAGAGAATGCTGATGTCACACTATTATAGGGCCTCATAATTTTTCATGCAAGACTCCATGTGCTACTAATTGAACGCCAGCATGTAGGTGTGCAGTCAGTAAGAAGGTAGCCAGCTCTGTAAAAGTCCTTCTAAAGGGCTACACTACATATCACACATCAGAGCTCATTAATGTATCAGGTTGATTTAATTCACTAATCAGTCACTGTGGCTTGAATATGAAACATGGAACGAGATAGTACCACAAAGGATTTCCAGCTAAAGGCAATCCAGCCACCAATGCTGCAAGAATCCCAACACAGATGAATAGTTGGTTGACAGATCCAAGTGTACCCCGAATCTCGGTTGGTGATATCTGTCCACAGTAAGGGTTAGGTAAAAAGTGAAAAGGCATTAAGGAAAGCATGGAATACTATGATTGTGAGAAGGTACCACCTCGGAAATGTAAAGTGGCACAATAGCAGATGAGATGCCAATTCCAATGCCAGCTAGTAAACGACCAATTATCATTGTCTGTACACTCTGGGTTGTGGCACTGAAAAATGGTGAGACCGTTAGAGACAGAGTTTCTGAAAAAAAAAAAAAACATTTACAGCCTCATCATCAATGCAAAAGGAGCAAACCAGAGATATGCTCCAACTGCAAGTGGGATTGCATCCAGTATAAAAGTCTTTGTCCGGCCAAATTTGTCAGCCAATGCTCCTCCCGTAAATGAACCAACAGTGGCGCCAGCAAGAAGTGTGCTAACAATCCATCCTGTTTAAAAAATAACAATGACAAACTTGTAATCCTAGATAAATAAAAAAACCACCCATAAAAATTACCATACAATCTGCAATTGAGACTAGCAGGAGATGTATGTAGGTGAAGTATGTGAATTGTAATTTGTAATTCAGCCATATCTACCTCAATCAATAGAATAGTGCAAATTCAAATGCATAGTAGGGGGCTTTTTGGACAGGGCAATCAAATTCACTGAACCTGGTGATGTGCTTTTATTCTAGTCTATCAAAAAATATGCCAAAGACATAAATTAGTAAACATCACCCTATGCAATATGAATCAAATGTTTCATCACATAAAGCAATGAAGACTTGCCTTGCAAAACAGTGTTTTCAGCAATCCCAAGATCCTTGGAAAGATACTCTAGGGCACCATTAACCACCCTGAAGCAGATGAGGAAGAATATACAAGGTAATAGTAAGTCTCACAATTACCTACCTTAACAGCATGGCAATAATTTTACCAACTACGAATGTGAATTCAGAACTGGACTTAAAAAACCACATTCACTTGTCAGATTACAGCTAGAGGTGGCATGACAAGTAATTCAGGTGGTAAAGAACATTCAAATTATTCGGATTGACAGAGAGGAAAACATCAGTAAAGAGAAATTATTTCTATACTTGAACAAAGGCATACCCCAGATGATATCCAAATAAAATGGCTCCCAAACAAGCAACACCAACATATGGCAGAACTGATGCAGATGATTTCTCCTGAACTTTGGCAGGAGCAACATCCTCAATATCTCCTTCTGCGACTCAAAAATAAACCATGCTGCTTGTTAGAAAATAGGGACAGGACATCATGAAGTATGACAGGGCAGCAACCAAAAATTCAGTAACAGCAAAAAGAAATAAGAACTTTTTAATCATATGGCGCAGTTTCAATATGAAGAAACTGAAGACAGTAGATGCATAATTTCTGCAAAAAAATAAAGATATTAGATGCAGATTTATCCATAAATTGCAATGTGAACTCACAGAATTATAAGAAATCAAGAATCATGTTCTACTCTATCACAGAATTCATGACAACAAGACAGAGAATTCCATACCCAACAACTTCACACTTCTATTGTATGTAAGATTTCACAGGCAACAGATGTAGATGACAGTTTAAAAAGGAATTTCAGCTTTTTGGAATGCAACAGACTGGAACAAAGAATATTTGTGTTATCTTTTTTTTTTTTTGGATAAGAAACAAAAATTTTATTAATGTATAAAAATGAATGGCCAGAAGTAGACAAGAAGTCCACCCCAAAGCCGAGTAAAAAGAAAAGTGCTAAGCACTATAGCATCCCACTAGTGTCAATACAATCCACAGGAAGCTGTCCAACTCGCCATGATGCAAAACAAAGGACTATTCGTAAAGTCTCTAGTTGCCGAAGCCCAAAAAAAGATTAAGAAGTAGATACAATTTCACAATCCTTCCACCATTACACTTCTATGCTAAAAAATTCTCAAGATTCTTTTCAATCAAATAACCCACACAATAGTGAACAAAGCACATTGCCATAGAGTACTTTCTCTGCCACTACCACCACCAAAACCCTTAATATCCAAACAAAACATAGAAGATGTGGAACCTGGTGCACCCAACAATGCCCAACCAAGCCAAATAATTTGTTCCATAATGAACGAGCAATAGGGAAATGCAAAAATAAATGGTTCACACTATCACTATTGCCTTTGCACATAACACACCATTGTAGTGAAAGACAAACATTAGGTCTCCTTTTTTGGAGCACATCGTTAGTATTAAGCTTGTCTGAGAAATAACTCAGGCACAAACTTGTACCTTCAAAGACACTTTCGCCTTCCAAATCTTCAATGATGAGTAAAAGGGTGGAAAAGAAGGATTATCAATCAAATGTCAAAGAAGGACTAGCACAAAAAAGAACCGTGGAATCAATCATCCAAACTCTATGATCTAAAGTATCTTGATTCAAAGTAACAACGTTAAGCAAAGAAAAGAGTACGAACAACTCAGAATACTCCCTATCATTATACCAGAACAGAAAGGCGGCAAGTTTGCCAAATCCAAAGCTAAGAATTGCTCCACTTGGTAAGGGATAGCCCTTACGAGATTCAAAAAACTGGTTCATGCCTCATCAGTCATCCCCTAAAAGGAAAACACAAATCCATAGTGTTTTGTTGCAACAGTGCATTCAGAGATTTCATGAAGCTAAATCATGGCACAACGAGCTGCACTAACTAATCCAGAAGATTTACAGAAAAAAACAGAGAGACATGAAATCAAGCACTAAAAGGAAAACATATGCACAAACCAGAAGCTTGAGCCTTGACTGATCTGGCTTTGACTGAGGACCGAAATGCACTCTGAACACTCGCTCTCGCACGGACGAGCTCAGCCCCCATGGAAACGGAATCGACGCGCAATCCAAAGCAACTGTTTCTCTCTTTCATGCAATGATCATTCAGCGCTGAACTCCTCCTCCTCCAAAATTCACCAAGTTCTGGTAAAACCCTATGATTTTTTATGTTGAAACCTAAGTTTCCCTTGACAGCGAACGTTGAAGCTTGCATGCTTTTCAATTTTACCTACAAGCCGAAAAGTCAACAGAGTAAATAGACGATAAATAACGGTTGTGTGAGAAAAGTTTAGAGAGAGAAAGTAAAAAGAGAGAAGTGTGGAACGCTTCAAGATAGAATCAAGAGAGAGACAGCAGATTAACAATAGATTGAAACATATTAGTACACAAAATTGAATCGAAGACAATGCTGCTAAACAGAAAATGTAGAAACTAATTACAAAATTTGAATTAATTTCAGAATAGAACAAAAAACGAGTTAAATTACAATGAATTCTCGCAGAGTTCAAATTCGATTTCTGATGTAGAAGCCGAACTTCGCAGAAGATCCCAAGCTTTTCTTCTCTCTCTCGATCACTATGGATATAGTTGGCAGATAGAGAGTAGCTTTGGAGGTTCCGCCAAATCTACAAGAAATTGCAAAAATAGAAGAGAGTTGCATACGAAGAGACAAATTTGGTGGAGAATTCAACTTCCGTGAAAAGCATCGTTTTCTATTATTTCACCTTCCGGAACAATAATAGAAAAAAATTCGGAGAGTGAAAAAAAAAGGTGATTTTGGATGATTTTAGTTGGATTTCGGATTAGATTTGTTGTGTGCAAGTGGCGTGAGTGACGTTCTATGTGCTGATCCGTACATATAATGCACAGGTGCATTTGAGAGAGCGACATCGTAGGTCTTGGGTCTGGGTCTGGATTTCTGTCTTGTGTAACGTCGACATTAGGGTGTCCATGAGTCCAGTTATTTACGGATGCCGTTATTTGTTCAAAAAAAAAAATAATTAGATAATTGATTTATCTGAACTAGAAATTAATATCCTTAAAAAGAGGATTTAGATTTGTTCCAAACCCATTATCCAACCGAAGCCCGGCCCAAGAGTCCGCCCGTCAAGTCTAGCCCACCTACCATTCTTTTGAAAAAGAATTATACTTTTAGACCATTAAATTTGAAACATTGAAATAAGTCTCACAATATCGAAATTTGAAGTTTTAATAATTTAGATATTATAAATAATGTATTATTTCTTTTCCATGTATTTAGAATATAAGTTTTAAATGGTAGAATTATACAAATGACAGATAAGTTTGTAAGTGTCAACCTAGTTGAGATTTATTCATTCTAATGAATGTAGTTCATTATTTTATTTTTATTCATATTGACTTTATTTTAGATTCAAAAATATAATTTACACAAATATTAAGTTATAAAAATATTCATTATTTTTAAATAAAGATGTATATAAAAAAATTTGCAAGCAGGCCCGCCCAATAGGCTCACAGGTTAAGCTACGAGTAGCCCCCTTACCCGAAGCCCGATCTGGCCTGACCGATAACTCACTTAGGTTAAGGCTTGGACTTACACTACACAGACCCAACCCGAAAAAAATTTCGCGAGGCCTAGCCCGACCCGACTCATGGACACCCCTAATCAACATCATCTCTAATGGTAATGGATATTAAAACTTTTACTTAAATCGATACTACTTTAAAATATCAGTATCTTTAAAAAACATTTTTTTTCATTTTTATCCTTTAACAACGCAAATATGATATTCTTATCCTTCAAAATTAATTGCCTATTCACCTACTTGAAGCTGATACACAAAACCCGCAAGGCCCTACAAATTCTAGAAACAAATGTAAGTTAAAGCCAATGCTTCAGTGTTCAAATTTTCATATTCCTTGTACTACTGGTTGTAATTTCATTTGGACACTCCAGTGTTTTTCACGAGCATTTTTCTTTCACTGTGGCGACTGCAATGAACACAACCGAAGCGCCTATTAGAGGATGATTAATTGTGTTGACGTGAATTGGAAAAGACACATTCGGCAAGACAATATGTGCTGATGAAAATCGGAAGGGGAAGTTATTTCCACCACTTGTGGCGGCCACCTCTCATGTATCCTGTTGCATATGGTAAATTTGATGTATGTAGATCTACTTTCTTGCAGAATGGTGGGAGAATTGGTGTATTATGTATGTTTGAAGTTCCCTTAATAAACTTAAAAAGAAACAAAGACGTCAGTAAGATCCTCACTAATGATGCAGTTTGCCCCTTTTCCGATCGAGGTGCTCTCTAAAAGATTAGTCGATTTTGAGGTGAGATTTGCAACTTTTGATTTGTTTTCTTGTCTCCTAATAGTTAAGCATCAGGACTAATGGCATGAAATAAAGGGGTACTGAGAAACAAGAAAAGTAATTCCCCGTATGTATTATGGAAATTGTTTTGTAAAGCAAACAAATTATTTGAATGGACATGCACCAGATTCCCTTCTCCTATGTTATGAGTTTTCTTATGCTGCCTTACGTATCTCTAAGTTATAAATCTTGAGCACTTCACTAGACTCAATTGTTTGTACTATTTTATTGGACTTAATTTCAGTTAACATGGTCATTCATATTATTTGACTACCTTTTAACTAAACGTGGTATTTAATTTTCAGTCTCAAAAAACTTNTGGGTCTTGGGTCTGGATTTCTGTCTTGTGTAACGTCAACGTTAGGGGTGTCATGAGTCAAGCTATTCACGGATCCCGTTATTTGGTCAAAAACAAATAAATTGGATAATTGATTTATCTGAACTAAAATTCAATATCCTTAAAAAGAGAGCTTAGATTTGTCCCAAACCCATTATCCAACCGAAGCCCGGCCCCAGAGTCCGCCCGCCAAGTCTAGCCCATCTACCCTTCTTTTGAAAAAAAATTATACTTTTAAACCATTGAATTTGAAACATTGAAATAAGTTTCACAATATCGAAATTTGAAGTTTTAATAATTTAGATATTATAAATAATGTATTATTTATTTTTCATGTATTAAGAATATAAGTTTTAAATGGTAGAATAATACAAATGACAGATAAGTTTGTAAGTGTCAACCTAGTTGAGATTTATTCATTCTAATAGATGTAGTTTATTATTTTATTTTTATTAATTATTTTTAAATAAAGATATATATAAAAAAATCCGCAAGCTGGCCCGCCCAATAGGCTCACAGGTTAAGCTACGAGTAGCCCCCTTACCCGAAGCCCGACTCGGCCTGACCGATAACTCACTTGGGTTAAGGCTTGGCCTTACACTACACAGACCCAACCCAAAAAAAATTTCGCGAGACCTAGCCCGACCCTTACCCATGGACACCCCTAATCAACATCATCTCTAATGGTAATGGATATTAAAACTTTTACCTAAATCGATACTACTTTAAAATATCAATATCTTTGAAAAACATTTTTTTTCATTTTTATCCTTCAAAATTAATTGCCTATTCACCTACTTGAAGCTGATACACAAAACCCGNAAAGTTAGGTATTTGGCTTTATATGATTTTTCTAAGGAATAAAAATAAGCTTCAATTTTTTTTTTGTTGTTGCTATTTCGGTATAAATTGTAACCTTCTAATTGTGCGTGGTTGCTTTTTATTTATCTTATTCCATATATTTAAATAATTCATTAGAATTTCTNGTATGACCAACTTACAATGTACTAACGGAATGATGTCTTACCGTAAAGTTGCTCGTACCATATTCCTTTATCTAGAATTTTCCTTTAAGNGCAATTTCATTTGGACACTCCAGTGTCTTTCACGAGCATTTTTCTTTCACTGTGGCAACTGCAATGAACACAACCGAAGCGCCTATCAGAGGATGATTAATTGTGTTGACGTGAATTGGAAAAGACACATTCGGCAAGACAATATGTGCTGATGAANCAAAGAAGCTTCACAATTATGATATTTAATCTTTGGACTCAAATTCTTTGAAGAAGCCTACTTCTTCGACATTAGTTAATTAAAGCCACGATGAAGCTCCTGTTTAGGAAGGAGAAACCAGTNTATGTGCTGATGAAAATCGGAAGGGGAAGTTATTTCCACCACTTGTGGCGGCCACCTCTCATGTATCCTGGTGCATATGGTAAATTTGATGTATGTAGATCTACTTTCTTGCAGAATGGTGGGAGAATTGGTGTNATTAACTTGCTTATAGGCACACCCTTTGACCTTTGGCTGTGTTCTAAATGGATTATAAAAAAAGGTATGGTATGATTATGTTGTCAGTTAGTAACTAAATCACTAATCTTCTGTAGGATANAAGAAACAAAGACGTCAGTAAGATCCTCACTAATGATGCAGTTTGCCCCTTTTCCGATCGAGGTGCTCTCTAAAAGATTAGTCGATTTTGAGGTGAGATTTGCAACTTTTGATTTGTTTTCTTGTCTCCTAATAGTTAAGCATCAGGACTAATGGCATGAAATAAAGGGGTACTGAGAAACAAGAAAAGTAATTCCCCGTATGTATTATGGAAATTGTTTTGTAAAGCAAACAAATTATTTGAATGGACATGCACNCCTTCACTCATCATATGTACTTGGTGTTTTGTTTTGTTTTTTTTTTTAAATCCTGATTGCAATGTTAGTGGTTGTAGATGTTTATTGTGAGAATAATCGAACCTGCATTGCAGTTGAACATACTTGAGAAGCTATCTAGGTAATATTACACAACATTTTCAACACTTTCTACTGCCTATTTTATCCTAGAATGTCATAAGTGCAACAAATAGTAAAGACATTGTTGGATCAAATGCATGCGTTGTTTTTATAAACTACGACATAAGGCGGTGCCACTAGCTATTGAGGAGCTATTAGAGTACAAGAATGATGGAATTGTATCTTCTAATAAGAATATTGGATTAACTGATTTTATATACTTAGGAAATCGGCATGTTAGTAACTGATAATCATTTAATTGTTTTGGTCCCTTCAACTGCCAATGTAAGTTCTATTACTTTATTTCTTTCATTCTTTCATTTCATTATTAGTAACAAGTTTTGGCATTCAAAGAAGATAAATTAAGTCGAGGTTCATATCTTGAGAATCTCGAGCAAATAAACCATCTTAATAATTAGACTACATTGAAATAATCAAGATATGTACCAATGATTTTCCTATTCTTCTTCCAATATTTGAAATTTACTCACATATTTTCGCATGTGTATCTGTGTGTGGTAGTTTAAGATTCTATTTCATTATTGAGAAAGTTTATGGATACTAGAAGCAATGAAACTTTGAATTTATGTTCTTCGAGATGAAGTAAAGGGCTCTTTTTTATTAGAAACAATATATGCAAATCTTTGTCAATTGAGATAACATACGCTAATTGAGATAAAACCGTTAATTTTCACAATACAAATAGCTCTCATAGAAACACAAGTATGAAGTAATGATAATAAATAGAAACACCAAATTTTACTTGAAATTGAAAAGAAACCAATATGCATAAGTGAAATATTGATCATGACAATGAATACTTTAAGCAAAATAACATTATAAAAAAGGTAAATTTATATAGATAATAACAAAAAAAATGGTGTGCAACTTTCACGGAATGGATGCATTTCTTGTTGATTGTGTGGCCACTAAATTTAATTTTGCATAAACTTAACCTCCACCTATCAAGACCAACATAAACACACACATAGTAATGCACACCTTTGAAGGAAAATAATTCATGTGATGCTCAAAATAATTCACGAGATGCTCATGTGTAATGCCCCAAAAACCCCCTTGGGTGACATTACATTCTAAAAATCATTCACCGCATGAGAGC